GCAGCGCTGAAAATTGGTCGCACAGAATTTTGCGTTTTTTGAAAACGAAAAGTACATAATTGAAATAAGCTTTACTTTGTAGATTGTAGAGCTTTTCACGCTGCATCTTACAGTATATTTTTTTTTATCGAAACATATTGATTGATAAAAGATGAAATAAGGAAAAAGGAATTTCTTGTTCGCATAGAAACAAATGATTTTTTCGCATCGTCGAAAATTGGTCGCACAGAATTTTGCCTTCTTTGAAAACAAAAAGTACAAAATTAAAATAAGGTTTACATTGTAAATTGTAGTTCTTTTCACGCTGCATCTTGCGGTATATTTTGTTTTTTTAAAACAACGCATTAAGTGATGCGAAAATGAAATAGAAAAAGGCCATTTTTTTTGTCCGCGAGAGAGTTCAATAAAATGGGATGATTTTTTGGTTCATAGTAGAAGTTTATTGAAAATTTTTTTCATATGGATAATATAAGCAAATACTTCTATTAAGTATCATTGTTGATCTTCCTAAAGAAATTTAATCTATTATAAAGTCAGAAAAATAAATGTAAATCGTTCCATAGATAATTTTTAGTGGTCACTTAAAAGAATAAAAATCAGAATTCAAGACAAACTTTATCAATTATGCAATATTGATGCAAATAGATCAAATTTTCAGAACTAGCTTGTTTAAATACTAAGATTCGTGTCCGAAAACTGAAACTCACAATTCGGATGCTTTGGACACCGAATCACCAACTTCTTCGAAAAAAACTCACTAATCCATCGTTGAAAACTGAAAATATTGTACTCATTGCCTTTTAAACTAATTACTTTGACAATTTGGTCTATTTGCATTAATATTGCATAATTGATAAAGTTTGTTTTGAATTCTGATTTTTGTTCTTTTAAGTGACAATTAAATATTATCAATGGAACAATTTACATTTATTTTTCTTACTTTATAATAGATTAAATTTCTTTAGGAAGATCAACAATAATACTTAATAGAAGTATTTGCTTATATTATCCAGATGAAAAAACAATTTCCATAAACTTCTACTATGAACCAAAAAATCATTCCATTTTATTGAACTGGAATGGAGATATTGGAAATTTTTATCGTAGTGCTATTTATGGAACACCCTATAGATAAGATAGGTAGACTTTTTGGCTAAATAAATAGGATATGATAGATAGGAAGTTAGGATAGATAGATAGATACTTAGGATAGAATAGAACAGATAGGATAGGATAGGTAGATAGCTAAGTAGATAGATAGGTATATTCCGATCAGATCGGGTGTGAACAATTTGCCCAAGTTGTAATCGTTTAGTCATAGTTCGGAAGCAGAAAGCTGAAGAAGGTGTTTTGAAAAGGTGGCAGACCTTTTTTTAAGGAAGGAAAACGCTTTAGAAACTAGTACATGCATTCTTTGTTGTTCTCAACTGGAATGGTCAAGAAGACGTTCCAAAAAAGTAAAAGCTTTTTTTAAGAAAAAAACCCAGTGATTCTAAAAGACGGAATCCGTTCTCCATCGTTTCATTTTGGAACGGTCTCCAAGTTTCGGAAAAACTATTTTTTACTTTTTGGAACGTGTTCTTTACCGGATTTTTTTGGAATATTTTTCACTGGGTATCAGAAAATATTGGAAAGGAATAAGAACTACAGTGATTGTAATCTAATTATTATGGGATGACTATGAGACCGTTTAAAGAATATACAACGTATGCTTAAGGATATCCTGTTTCCCGTCAATTTAAAATAAATATAAGTCATTCTTTTCGATAACTTATACTTAAAAATAAATATGGATTATCATTATTTATATTTAAAATAAATATAAATTATGATCATTTATATTTATTTTTAAATAGAAACTATGAAAAAAAAATATTTACGCTTAAAAATAAGTATAAATTATCAAAAAAAACAAACATATTTATATTTATTTTAAATATAAAACTAGCGATAATTTAATTAATGCATGAATTAAGTTGAAAGTAAGTAGGAATTGAGATCTCTATGTATGGTACTAATCTAACAGAAAAAAAATGAAAACTATATCGTATCTTTGAAGCGACGATCAAAATCGGATGACAATATTTTATGTAAAGATTTAGCAGTTCAGTTCAAGTGCAAGTTCACGCAAAATTAATCAATCAAGTCTGGATCGTAGAAACCTGATCGACTGGGTGCAGATCGAAAAAGTTTTAGTCAGTCGAATCTGGGTTCGGGTCGAGGAATTGTTAGACTCGATGGGCTTTACTATCGTGCCATTTCTATAACGATTCTCAATTTTTCATTTCATCTTCTTGTCTTTGTCTGAAATTATCTTTTAAAGAAATCTGTAAACAAAAATTATTATGTTGACTTTTTTCTTTTTAGAACGAAATGTTTCTAGATGATCTCCCACATTCTGTTTTATATAATATATGTAAATATCTATCGTTTAATGATATAACACAGTTATCGAAAGTATGCAAACGATTATACATTTTAATTGAAAAAAATAATTATTTTTGGATAATATTGATTCGAAATCATTTTGGATTTAAATTATATCACCGTTATGTTCATGAAATATTCGAAAACACGAAAAATTCCGATTATGTTTTATATAATACAGAACAAGATAGAATATATTTTGAAAAATCTTATCAAAAACTACTAAAATTAATGTGTTGTTTATGGTTATGGAATGTATTAGATTGTAAAAATGATAGTCATGGATATATAACCTATAAACGAATAGTTAAGCAAAAAAAACGTCCGCGTACAAATCATTATAATATGTCATTAACAATCGAAGAATTATTTCAATATTATTTAAATCGAAATAAATATTTAACTAATGAAAATATTTGTCAAATACCATGGTCTAAACTAATTTATTTCTATTTAATTGAATATAAACGTTTATCATGTCTTGATTTCTTTCCCATATACTTACGATGTTCACTTGGTCATACAAATTGCTCGAATACGATACATTCACATTATGAATATGATTCAAGTAGTTCAATGGGTCTATGTGTTCGATTATATACGAAAATAAATATTTGTCAATTTGGTATAAAAGGTAAATTTGAATCAATATTACCTGGAATCTATGAAATTCTATGCCGTATTAAATTGGATAAGAATGAGAATTATTTCTCATACTTTACTGAATGTTGTAGTCAAAATCGTGAGATAGAAAAATGTGTAGAATGTTATTTTATTGCATTAGCTGATCGTGGTCTTGATTGTGAAGTCGATGAAAAAAAACTGAATTATGATTGGTTTGAATCAAACTATTTATTACATGGAAATCAAAATTAGTTTATTGAAAGCATGGGAAAAATAAAAGTATTCGAATTATCGAATATTTATTTTGGATTTAAAATAACTAAAGACTACCGTTATCGAAATATATTATTTGATTATATTCAATTAAATATTGTTGAATAATTTTGTTTTTTTTTCTTAGCATTGTAAATTATATTCCTTAATAAATAATGTCAATTTTAGTTGTTGTCTATCTTTTTCAAAATCTATGCAACACGGTCTAGTTTTTCACGAGTTTAGAAAGTTTTCTTTTGTTATAGAAGAACAAAAATTGTTGAGAGAAAATGAAAACAAATTCTCTCCATTAAAATAGTATTTAGCAGATTTCCAATGGTTATCGATTAAGAAAAATAGGGTGTGGGTGTGGGTGTCCGTTTTTTCTTCATCCACACCCATAATCTCACAAGCTCTACACGCATACGCCCACAGCCACAGCTACACACGCCATACCCATATCCACACCCACCCCACACCCTAGTTAATAGTTCTTATCATAAAATGAAGTTGCAATTCACCTTATAACTATTCTAGTATAACTCTATAGTTCGGACTATATCAACCAATAACAACAATATTAAAGCTTGCATAACATAAGAGATGAAAAATCTCACAAAACAAAACCATTCGTGAATGAAAATGAACTGATAATTCTACCATTGTTCTTTGCATGAAATCAAGAAGCATTTTTTCCTTTGCAATAATATGGAGTGCAATAGATTTTTTTTTTAAATGACCTTTTAATCATTTTATATTAAACAAAAAGAAAAGAATGAGTCTATTTTTGAAAACATGATATCATTAATGATTTGTCTCAACTCGATCTTTTGAAGATAGAACAATTTGCTATGGATGTATATGTGTTCTATACTCCTTCAGTATTCACTATATTTTTGCAGTTGTATATAAAACTTTTCTTATTTTGATACACAAGTTTACAAAAAAATTCAGAATATTTTCTTCTCACTAATATTTTACATGACAAAATGTTGTTCATGATGACAATTCTATTTCAGCAATAAAATTATTGTTGTTCAAAAAGCAACACAAATTCTCACTTTTACAGATATTTAAATTAAAAATTTTCATAGTCTTATTATTTAATAAATAGTAATTACTCTCTCGAACAACTAATCTTACTTCACAAATTTCTTCTAAATAAGTTTTTAAATAATCTTTCAATTTGATATATAATTCACCAACAACATATTCTTCAATAGGTACATCATTTTGTCGATTATTTCGAGTAGATCTTCTTGATGGAATGTGTTCTAATAAATAACGTAAACAATATTCATAAACCGCACTATAAAAATAATTCAAATATTGAAAAAAAAAATAAAAATAAAAATAAAAGATTAAACTTGTATTTACGTAGAAACTTTCATATATAACGACTTTGAGATTCCATGAGTTCGATAAATATATGTTCAAGATCTTCCAATACTTTCTTCCAAACATAATCTGTAGAAAAATTATAATTCATGTGCGACATTTTGTTTTAAAGCAATATCTATGACTAGAAGAACAATAGTATTAAAGTCATGTGTTGAGAATAAAAACTAGATAGCATACAAGCTTTACTTGTAGTGCGAGATCAGTTTGAAGTACTTCGAGTTTCGAATATCAAAAGATCTCTAAAATCATTTAAGATCTCACTCAGACTCAATCCTGAGAACTTCATTATTATATAAATATCGTGATTAACAATTATAATTTAATCGAAGTAATTTTCTTTATATTTATACGATAAACCATACAATTTCAGTTTTATTTCCTATACACAGTGAGAAATCGTATCAAATAGAATACTTTTATGTATAATACTGACATTGATGTATATATATAGTGTTTATAATTTTATTTAATAATGGTAAGATTGAATTTTTAGTATCTTTATTTTTTATTGTCCGAAATTCGTTCATCTATCTCTCTACCGACACATCTATGTTATAGGAAAAATGAATCTATATATAAGATGTGAGAGGAAAGTAGGACAGAAACAATAAAAACAATAATAAAATTGAATAAAAAATACATCAGTCATTACCTCACAATAATGGTGATAGTAGTAAAGAGAAGACAGTAGGAAAAAATATTTGAGAAAATGAAAGAAATTATAACTCTAGTTAAACTAATATGTTTATGTAAAGAAAGAGAACGAACATGTATAAAAATACCATTAACACATATTTTATGGCATGTTTACATACTTGCCATAATATCTATTAAGAGAATCGAATACTTCGTGATTTTCGAAAATATAATTTATTTCATCAATAGATAATGTAATTCACTATTAATGCAAATTTTTTAGAAACAAATTAAATTGTAGATGCATCTGTTAAATTGATATTGTTCACACTGTTGATTCAAAAAAGATTCGAAT